CCCCCCAGTGTCTAAGCAGGGATGGGCCTGCTCTGAGGTGGCTGGCCACAGCCTTGAACAGGGAGGGTCAGCACTGTAGGCAGGGACCCCACCCTGTCCCCAAGAGCCGTCCTCTCTTGGGACACTGGCTGGGCGCAGTGACCAGTGGTCAGGGTGTTGGAAGGGACCTCTGGCCTTATAAGGAGGGGATGGAGGCCTGGGTGGGGCGGGGAGAGTGGATCCAGGGACAGGGTGCAGGTTCTAGACCAGGGCGGAACTCCAAAAAGGCCAGTTTTCGAGTGCCCGGGGCTAAGACCGGCGTTTACACTTTTTAATGGCTGAGCCCAGATCAGAAGAATGAATGAATGAATGAATGAATGAATGAGCCCACTGCCAATGCCCCACAGCCCAGCCCTTCAGCAGACCCGGCTGACAGACGGGCTTGCTTTCGGCAACGGGAGGTGCCCAAACTCAAACCTAGTGCTGCCAAGCGTACTCCATCCTCCCAATGGTTACGTCTGAGCCTGCGGATGCGGCCACTGTGTCCGTCCATCTCCTTGAGGGCCTTCCTCTGTTTCGCCGTCCCTCCACTTTGCCAGGCCTGATGTCCTCTCCAGGGACTGGTCTCCTGTCACCACGTCCAAAGTACGTGGGCCCGAGTCTCCCCATCCTTTCCCACGCAGACCCCTCGGTGCAGTACACCGTGGCAGGTCAGGCGCACCTACGTCTCCAGTGAGACGCTCCTGTTCTGCAACACGTTCGCAAGGTCAAGCATCCGATCTGCCCTCTAGTCTCAGACGGCTGCTTCTGTCACGTTGATCGGGAATGCAGGTGAGGTGACAACGTCCTTGGCCACGCCAGGATGTTACCACTGGTCCAGCAGCGAGAATTTCCGTCTGCTTTTTTTTTTTTGGTATCAAATTGTTTTGATTTATTCTTCTGCCAATCACAACTGATAGTTTTTTTGGTGCCAACATGGCACCTGTAAGAAGATACAGGTGGAGTTCGACCTGTCAGTCAGGTTGCAGCCTGACCACCTCCCTTAGAGGGGCCACCAAGACCTGTAACTCTTGACGGCCGGCCTCTCTCTCTCTCTCTCTCTGCCTTCACCTTCCTGCTTGCTGGCCACCCTGGGAGCCACTGGAGCCCCGCCTCATTTCCAACAGCCACTGGAGCCACATGGTTCTGCGCCCCCCCAGCCTGTGATCCCTCTGCGTCCTGCACCATTGCCTGTGGCTGCGTGAGTCTGCAGAGGGACTTGCGGACTAAGGATTGGACTTAGGGACTTGAGTTGGACTGGGCTGATATGTAATAATTTCTTGACAGAAAGCTCTTTCTGACACACGTAGGAGGGGCACTGGAATTGTTTCTCTAGTCAACCCGGCCTCACACAACACCTGGTTTCCATCGACGGTGATTTCTCGGCTAAGAAACAGCGGATCCACTGAAGAAGCCGCCGCGACTGTGAGCTGCGGAGCGAACACGACTGCAGGTCACGTCCGGCCCACGATCACGCAGAGCTGCGTGGGGAAGGAGCTCCTCACGGTGGGCCTGCAGCAGCAGGGAATGGGTGCCGCTTGAGCTCGCCTTCTCCACACCTGCCTTGCAGCCCCTCAGCCCTGCCGGTCCACAGCTCAGTCAGAGCCATTCCCGGCTAGCCCTGCCGTCCACAGCTCAGTCAGAGCCATTCCCGGCTAGCCCTGCCGTCCACAGCATCAGTCAGAGCCATTCCCGGCTAGGGACCTTCACTAACAAGATGCTCCAGTGACCACAGCTTCCGAGCAGCCCCACGGCAGCTCTGCGGGGTCTAACTCCACTGCCTCCTCCAGCCAGCTCTCTCAGATTGCTCCCGTCCTGCACCGTCTGCACTCCATCGTGGCGCAGTGCTCTCTGGTACCCCGCCACCGGGCAATGGGATCCATGGGAGACCGCCGGTCACCAGGGGTTTGCTGGTTCCGGTGTCGACGGTGCTGCCCTGTCTGCTCTCCGCTGATCTCACGGGTTTTTATCGGTTACACGTTCCCTGAGAACCGCTTCTGCAATGGGTGGTCGACCAGGGTTACCCAGGCATCAGAGACCAGATCGGGGGCAGCTCTGCCACCTCCTCACGCACAGAGACGGACAGCATGGGTCAGAACCACAGGCCGGGACCTGCATGGCTCCTGGCACATGCACGCGAGCTGTTTCCTTCATTCTGAGTCTTCATCCACACTGAGGGCTGCGGTCCGTCGTTGATCTTCATCAGCAAGGGCTCCAAGTCCCCCCACTTCCAGCAAGCACGGTGTGTCCTCCGCATAGCGCAGGTTGTTCTACACCTTCCTCCAACCCTGATGCTACCTTCTTCTTCATAGAAGCCAGTGTCTCTGAGGAGCTGCTCAGCAGACGGACGGCGGGCGGACACCATCCTGACACACACCTTTCCTGATGTGCAACCGCACCGTGCGCCCTACTCTGTTCACACATCGCCCCCACGGGCCCCTCGTGAGCTCCATGCAGAGTCCGGGACTCCCACTCTTCTCCAGGGTTTACGGTCCCCACAGTCGAATGCCTTGGCACAGTACCAACCACAAGGAAACATCTCTCTGGTGTCCTCTGCTTTGAGCCGAGGTCCGTCTGACGTTGGCAATTGCTCCACATCTTCCTCTGATCTGGCCCAAACCTCTAGCAACTCCCGGTCACTGTGCCGCCGCAACCAATGTCGAGTGATCTTCAGCACGGGCTGACACGCGTGTTGACAGCAACGACGCTGCTCTGTACCCTGTGCATCTGGGTCTTGGAAGGAGCACAGTCCGAGTGCTCTGCAGAGACGAGGACGGCGAGGTTTCATCTCACACACGATGGACGTGTGGTCATCAGAGACCAGTCCCCGGAGGGGGACATCGTGCTCGGTACCGTGGAGGGGCGGCGAGAGAGGAAGACCCTGGACTAGAGGGACGGATGCAGGGGCCGCCGCCCCTGCTGGAGCAGAGAGCGTGGGGAGGATGGAGCGGACCGGGCGTCTTTCCTTCTGTGGGAAGTAAGCGGGCCGTCCGCTGGTCGCTGTGGGTCAGAACCGACTCCACAGCACCTACAACTAGTGCTCGGCTGCAATGCAAAAGGTTGCAGACCTCAAAGTCCCCAGGGGCACCGTGGGGGAAAGGTGGCCCCTGGGAAATCCCCAGGCACCCAGCCAAGCACCCCGATGACATGCTAGAGTTTGTGTCCTTTCCCAAGTCACAGCCATTGAGGGTCACTTTGGGTTTCTCGCATGAGGACGCATGTGGGTGCGAGCATGTGGTCTGCACTGCGTGCATGTGCATGCGTCGTGTGTAGGTCTGTGTGCGTGTGCTCACATGTGTGGGCATGTGAGTGCAGGTGTGCCTCTACATTCCCCCAGGACACAGCGTCACACTGGAGAGGGTGCCTGGAGGGAGGAGGGGTCACGTGTGTGCATGTGTATATTCCCCCAGAACATGGCGTCATGCTGGAAAGGGTGCCTGGAGGGAGGGGGACACATGTGCATGTGTGCACATGTGTGTATTCCTCCAGAACTCAGCGTCATGCTGCAGAGAGTGCCCGGAGGGAGAGGAGGGATACATGTGTGTGTGCATTATATACACGTGCGTATTCCCCCAGAACATGGCATCACACTGGAGAGGGTGCCCTGAGGGAGAGGGAGGGGGGGAGCATGTGTGTGCATGTGTGCATACATGTGTACATGTATGTATCCCTCCAGAACACAGGGTCATGCTGCAGAGAGTGTCTGGAGGGACACGCATGTGTGCATCTGTGTACCAGTGTGTACACGTGTGTGTATTTCTCCAGAACTCAGGGTCATGCTGCAGAGGACCTGGCAGAGAAGGAACTATCTCGAGCAGTTTCCCTGAAGCAGTCACACTGATGACTGGCCACTCCTCCCCTGCCTAGCAGGGGGGCTTAGATTGCCCTGCCCCTGCAGTGCCTTTCCGGAGCAGTCTGGGGCTGGAGCTGCCCCGAGAGCCCTCCCTGCACTGGTCCCTGCTGCTTCTGGCCCAGGATCCTGGCCCTCGTCCCCCAGCAGGTCTTACCGGTGGCACCTTCGTGGCAGAGCCGGGAGTTGGTGGCCCGTCGTCCCTCGGCAGAGCGTTCCCATTAAGTTCCATGTCCTTTGCTGTGACAGTGATGGGGTTCAGGCAGGGGGTTGGGGGGGCGAGGAGGCAGGGCGGGGCGGATGCAGGGTGGTTGGGCAGGACAGGAAGCCACCCAGAGACACCAGCCAGCTGGGGCCCTGCCTGGAGGGGTGTGCTCAATGCCAAGCAGTGCTCCCACTGGGAGGGACCCAAGAGCTCTGGCCCCACCCACTGACCCCCTTGGCTGATGTGGCTTGTCCCTTGGGGTCACCCAGGCCAGTCCCTTGGGGGCTCCCATAAGATCTATAGGGCACTCTCCCCTCCCACCCCACCCCTAAGGGACCAACTCTGTCTCCAGCCTCCCCACCCTGCCCCAGGCGGCCATCTGCTTTGCCAGACATGGAGGGAGGGGGGAATGAGGGTCTGGGGCAGGACCTTGGGGCAATCACACCCTGTGGTTTGTGGTTTTCAAAGCCACAGTTCAGGGTTCTTGAAACCAGTGGGGGTGGGGAGGACAGCAGGAAGGAGGGGTCAGGACTGGGGAGCCCCAGTGAGGAGGGGTAGTCACTGCTTCCTGTGGCTGCGGGGGG